TACAAATACAATACACGAATAGGTCTATTTGTTTTCCAGGCCTAATCTACTGTGATCGAACATGATTGCTATTTTTGGGTGTACAAATAAGACTGTTTAATAACTCAATGAAAAATTTGTTTCACTCTTGGACTGTCAAATTATTTTTCTCTAAAAACACTTAGCCTTTGCCTCAAAAGTCAAATGAATGTGCCCTGATCTGTGGATTACAAGTTTATTGTTTGATTTAAAGTATGAATTTATTAACAGGAGCTTCGCTTTTAGCCCTGGCTAAATCTATATTTTATAGGTTTAAATAGGGCAAAAAAGAACAAATTCTGTCCGAGGTCTGTATGATAAAAACAAGGGCCTCATAGTACTGTTTACCTGAGACGTAATATATCAAACATGAGATGCAGTGTTTCATCACCAGATGAAACACCGAGAAGAGAGTTGAAAATACGACGCGCAGCGGAGTATTTTTGACGAACTTTGAGGTGTTTCATCTGGTGATGAAACACTGTGTCGAATGTTTGATATTTCTTCTCAAACAAAATCATTTTTGAAGGAGAAATTAAGGATGCAAATACTAAGCAGTGTTTCATCCGATTTCCAAACACTCATTAAACATTAATTTCCTTTGTATTTTCTTAATGAATTATTAATGAGTTCGAGAAGTTATGAGAAAAAGTATGTTTAAAAGGGTGGTTTACACACCACCAGATTCGTCGCCAAGATTTACTAGTAAACTAAACTTGTCAAACACAAAAAATCCGGCCTGTTTTTTTTATTTTGGCCTCTCTTTTAGACAGAGAAATGCAACGTGTAAATTGGCTGCCACCAAGGACTATCGTGGCACGTGTGTTTCTTAAAATTATATTTCAGGGTTGCCTAATTATCCATAGTCTCTCTAACGGAGCAATGTTGGAGAGACTGGTGAATGCCACATTATGATGCAACAGCTAATACAAATACAATACACGAATAGGTCTATTTGTTTTCCAGGCCTAATCTACTGTGATCGAACATGATTGCTATTTTTGGGTGTACAAATAAGACTATTTAATAACTCGATGTAAAAGCTGTTTCACTCTTTGACTGTCAAATTATTTTTCTCTAAAATCACTTAGCCTTTGCCTCAAACGTCAAATGAATGTGCCCTGATCTGTGGATTACAAGTTTATTGTTTGATTTAAATTATGAATTTATTAACGGGAGCATCGCTTTTAGCCCTGGCTAAAGCTATATATTAAGAATAAAGAACTATTAATGCCAATAATAATAGTTACTGTTGGCAGTGACCAAAACAAGTTATTATAAAGACACAAAAAGCTCTAACTGTACAGTTTTTAATCGCGTGGTTTTATGTTTCATGTTTGCAATGATGCAACAAGCACCAAAATATTTTTTGTGTATTACTACTACCTTTTTGTGAAATCTGCACCATGTTGAAGTGTGGTCATCTGTGTAGTGCTCATAATAATTTAGGATGGCTTTGCCAAAGTCCCCCATGGGATCCTCTGAGGAGTGGATCTCTTCGCACTTTGTTAGATTTTTCAGACACTTTTTAGCGTTGGTTATCATCTGCCATTCTTTTGCACTTGGGTAGGCCAAGGCTTTTGCACTGTGGATATATCAAATGGTACACATGTAATGATTATAACTGAAATCGTTTTAGATTGAAAAAAGCTTACAAGCAACCAAACTCAATTAGGAGAATTCGGCAGTATGAAATGAGATTATTATGCCCAAAGAAACAAGCACATTACCAGCTCCTGACATTTACCGTAAATTAACATGGCGATGATAGCAAACACGAGATTTCTTAATTGTACTTTTTGACAGTTACATTTCCTCTGCGGTACACATAAATAAAATAAAGTTAAACAGCGCCGAAAAAAGCAAATTTTATGTCTTTTTTTTTCTAGCAAGTACGCTTTTAGAAAAAACTTTGCCGTTTCGTGATCAATGACTCTGGAAATACAAGTGAGCTAAATTGGGAACTGCGCATTAAAGGCGGTTAGGGACAAAAGATACAAAGCTGTACACTCACCTGACAAGGCGTTTCTTCGCTCATTCCAAGTCCGTATGGAATGTTTTTGCTGTGTGGTTACCACAAAACACTATCTCTGTCTCCGGGCTTCTTGTAAGAATAATCTCATGGCAAGAGGCGTCTTTATCAATTATTGCTTTCTTGATGGTCATACACCCGTTTTCGATCAAATCGGCAAGAATCTCGTCAAGCATGTTCCCCTCTGTGCCATCAGATGTCCCCTCCCAGTTGGCATCCTGTCCCCGTTTAGTGCGATGTGCATAGCCAATGATGTTACTGGTCTTAGTGTCATGCATGGTGGCAGAAGAATTGTTGGAGTAGTGGCCTCTTGTCAAGTAGAAGCCGTCGAACATGAGCCTGTCTTGATCTCTGCGCGCTTTTATCGTTTTCCTTGACTGCTGGACACTCCAATTGGCTATTTTTTGTACTTCCGGAGCAATCCACTCAATTTCTCGGATCCACCGCTTTTTGCTTAAGTGGGTTATTCCTAGGGTTCCCATCAAGTGGTCATAATCTTTATAGTACAATCCACAGGTGAACGTGAGGAGGACAATTGGTCAGATAGCACTTTGGTTTCGTACGAGCAAGAATAGTCTCACTGTTGCTAGATACACTGAACAGTTTCTTACATTCGGAACAAATAAATTCCAACTTTAGTATTCCTGCCTGTGGCCCCGTTTCTTTCTTAAAAACGAACTACCGCGACTTTCCACATCCACTGCATTTGCTTTCTGAAACAGCATCTCGCATAACTTCAGAAGTCGAAATCAGAAACGACGATGGCTTCATAGAGAGATTCTTACTCGTTAGCTCATTCTCACTCTCTACTTTACTACGTATACCTATCGATAGAGTGCCAACGAGCAAAAAAATGCGTATTTTGCATTTGAGAGTTTCTCAGGTCCCCTCCCAATGCAAGGATCATTTAGTTGAAAAGGTGACATAATATAAAAGTTTGAAATGATGAAGTATCTTTTTGAAAGAATAAAATCAGCTTTGCAGAGGGAGGTATCAGTAAGAAACATTTTTTTTTGAAAATCTGAACCATGTATTGATAAATGTTGAATACATTTGAATGTCAATTTTACAAGTGTTACATAACGTTTTTTAAAACACATATTTGCACATATTAGGTGCTGGAGACTCTGCTCGCAGGGTAGTCCTATATATGAAGTAAGGCGATTGATGCAGGAAGGTGGGGAGACAACGTTTTTGGTTGTTATAAAATGGTGGTTGCCATTAAGATGGGAAAGTTTTCTTTTTTTAGGCATAAGGACAGTTATTGCCTTGTTCCACATAAAGAATGGGGTCATATATACTTACATCTTTCTGAACAGAAACATACTAAAGCACTTGTCTGCTTAATAATATTTCAAGTAACACAACTAATAACTTGAACGTGTAAATGGTTGATAATTATTGTAAAATCGCAACGAAAAAGAACATTGTAATTATATTATCATTAATTTTGGTCCACAATGAGATGAAAGACAATAAACTGAATGTTTTGATCAAATGATCCTCTGTAAAGTTTGTAGTAAGAACACTATCCAGAGCAGTTTAACCTGTAATTAGTGAAGATGATGATATTTTTGTGATTACTTTTCTGTTCATATTGTATGCGAACTCAATGTCTGTTATATCCATTAACAGTTCTTCAATGGTATCTGAGTCACTTAGTAGGGAGATAGTTGGGTGGGTGGCGAATAGGGACTCCAGAACATCTGTAAATGCTGTTAACCACACATCTTTGTCATCCAAATGTACAAGTAGTTGCAGAGATGCATCTCGCTTGCACTCTGCTTGTCTCTGTCGTACTCCACAGTTTTTACATTTGAGTGATTTGTGTTGGGACATTTCGTTAATTTTTCGTTTGCATGCTTGGCAAGTAATATAAATACTTAGTTTGTTTATCATCTTAAATCTCTGTACTTTTGCTTCTTTCTCAGGATTTTGGAGTAATTTAGAGTTTTCAGCTGCTGATCGGCCTCTTGAAAGGTTGTTGCACGTGTTGTTCCTAAATGGGTGATTCCTTGGAAGTGTTTTACAGTAAGGTCGTCAATCACATATGTGGTGCCACTTTTAATCTGGTTAATAAGTGGATCCCATACATGAATAGCTGCAGTTCCAGTTTCATCTTCTAGAACACAATCTTCCTTCACTGATGTCATCTCCTTTGATGTTCTCAGTTCAACTGGTTTAGGCTTTTCATTTCCCAGTGAAATTGAAGCAGTGACGTTCACTTTCTGATTGACTTGAAGTGTGGGGAGCTCTTCAAGTGTAATCTTTTTGGCAGGCTGAGCTGACGGTACAGTCTTTTGAGATTGATGGATGGGCTGATAGTCAAAATCAATGTCAAAGGTTGGCGCAACCCTGACCATTGATTGTTGGTTGAATATGATTTGATTATTGTCATTTTCCTTAGTGTTTTGAAGGGTTACGGCTGTTTTTGATGCCTCATGTTCTTGTAATGTGGAGTGGCTTGCAATATTAAATCCCACAACTCTTCCCAACTTGGATGGGCTGGTTTGGAGGTCAAAATCGAACCACTGATTTTGATTTCGTGAGCGTTTAATGGGGCTTAAATTCTGAATGTAGCCACGGTGATTATCTAAGAAAGGGGAAATAAACATTAAAGTGAGATAAGAAATGTGAAATATTAATGTTCAACAAGTTAATACAATTTTCCATCTTTATCAAACCAAATATGGTCAGAAAAACCTTAAGTAGACTTTAGTGTGAAGATTATGAAGGGCTGCTTCACGTAATGAATTGAATGAAATGTGACAATTCCTATTCCAATTCTGCAGTAACTGTCGTGTCACCTTCCCATAGCCTCTGCACTGAAGAAAACAGGAATATGCTTCCCGTTTTATTAAGTTTGGGGTTAAAACCTTAAAATAATTATTTACAACTACAGCCACATATACTTACCTGAGTTTGTGTTGTCTGACTTTATTGTTGACATGACTTAATTGGTTGGAGATCTGAAAACAATAAGTCTCGATGCTGCGTCGATTCCAGTCAGTTGGGAAGTGTGGTGAAGCTAACTTAATAGACCTTTTCACGGTTTCTGTCGCCATCTTTGAGGGCAAACACGGCAAAATTTACAATAAATGTATGGTAAAAGTCGGGATTTTGATGCTCTATAACTTGAGGAAAGTTGACATTCTGAAATTTCTATCATTTACAAACTAAAGATACTAGTAAAACAGTTAACCAATTAGGTTTGAAGGGCATCGGTTCGCTGAGAAGCGAGAAGTCTTACTTTCAGTTTTCATGCAAATGGTTCTACGTTTTCCCGCTAACGGCAGCTCCATTTTACAGACAAATATCTTCTTGAAAATCGTCAAATTAGTTGTTTTACGATGTAATGTTGCAGTACTTTTGCTGGGCTGCACGTAACTGCAAAAGAGCTGGGGCTAGGAGAAAGCATCGCTATAAAGTTGAACAGAGGCTCCCGAGTATCACCAGAAAACAAATGCAGTTTGCCGTGGTTAACCCTTTTACCCGTCTGTTGCCAAGTGGGAAAAAGATTATGGTCTCAAGACTTCCAAGATGAACCATGGAAAATACTGGTAAGCAAATTACCATGACGTTGAGTTCTGCCTCTTCCGAATTTTGCGGCTCGACTAGAAGCATGTCCAAAGTGATGTCAGTAGGTAAGTTTATTGAAAAATCTTTTACGCAATACCAGATACTTTCATTTTGCAAGCTTGCAGACTATTTGATTAGTTAAATCTGTATTGTTGGAAGAAACATTATAAGCTCTGTCCTTAATGCTTAATGTTTTGAAGCTGTAACGAAAACTTCTTAAACATGAAGTCCCGCATCTGTTGCGATTACAGAACAACTATATTAAGTAATTCATTTTTTCATGCTACAACGCTACTTTCTATATACCACGAAAAATGTTTTCAGTCACTTCACGCACACGGATTCGGATTTGAACAAAAATTAAGTCGGATCGACGGATCGGGCCTAAAAATACCACGGATCGGCGGATTTACATACCCCTATTCACCCCCCCCCCCATAAGCTACTCGCTGCATTTCACTAAAAGTTGAAGTATCTACAATTACTGTTGAGCATAAAGAGTGAGAACTACTTCTGTTTTTCTGTCTGTGTATCCACGAAGGCATTACATTTATTTCGTCTGTTGTGAAATGTTGATATACCTGATGCCAATATGCCTGTTGTACAAGTGTGGATTGCTCATAAAAATCATTTGTTTGAATATTTAATTCTGCCATGAGCATCCACTCCTCTCATTGTCTGCGTTGTTATCTTCTTCAAGAGAATCATTGTCTGAGGGTGTTATGTACATGTAGCTGTTTACAGCTTGCAGTTTGGTTTCCCAATCAGGGACTAAGGATTCTGCAGTATCTGTTGATAAGAATTGTTTCCAACATGCCGTGTATGTCTCCTCAGATTGTTCAAGGTTATCCCGAGCACCATCTGGTGTACATTGCCAGGGTTTGTATTTAAGCAACTGATATTTACAAAATACACCATAGCCTTCATTTTTTGGATTGGATGAATAATTAGGGTAGGTTTTCACAATTACAGTTTTTCCTCTTTGGTGAAGTTTTGAACCTTAAAAAAATAAATTTTGATGCAAACTGACAAAAATTGTACTCTAATAATTGTGGATCTACCTTGAGATAGTTATGACGTTCAGCATAGATAGCAACTATTGAAGGAACAGTACAAATTTGGTGGTTTGCTCCAAGTTGGACTCTTCTCGATCCATCAAGTGATGCAGTGATAACCTCATTAGTTGCACTTACAAATTTTATTGACAGTAAATGATGCATGACCTCTTGAATAGAGTAGTCTCTTTGACCAACAGTTTTCAGCATAACTTGCTTAGGGGCACCAGGAGTGTCAGAAGTTTCATTCATTTTGTTAATAACATTGGTGAAAGCATTTTTGACTACAGAAGATGCTTTTTCAGCTTTTGATGTATACTTAACAAGATATTCCAGACAAGCATGATAATCTATAACAATTTGAATGTCACAATTTGCTCTCCACCCTTGGAGCTGTAATCTAGGATAACAATTCAATCTAGAATCATTTCGTTTTGTGACAATGACAGCTTTATATTTTATGTCACCAGTTTTTGTGTTAATTGGTTCAAATTCGAGTCTTGTTTCAGCACAGTTGTCATAAGGAAAGTCGGGTGTACAATGTAATTCAGATTTGCCATCTTGTTGAAGACAATATTTAGTACTACATGTAGTATGTCTCTCCACTGAATTTAACAAATGTACATAATCATCTGCCATTTCATTTGCTTTTAATGAAAGATATGATTTTTGACATGGGTGAATTTCTGGTTTTGACCATCCGTCATCAGGAGAGCAAGGATTCGAGGTCGTCAACAAAAAGTCAACATATCTGCAAACAATTAACTCAGCTTCTTTGCCTTCCTGTATTTCATTATCCATATCTAGAATCTGTTCTTTAGACAGCATATTTTTTTTTCATATCTATATTTTGAAGCCAAGTATCCCTTAAGGGCCTTCTCTGTGAGGGAACATAATCCTGGGTCATTTTTTAACTTAGCAACTCCATGACAATGGATAGAACCCCTTCGGACAGCATATTCGTACCTATACCAATGCCACGAAGCCTGTAATGAATCCTTCAACCAATACTTAACAAAACGATCAGTTCTTTCAGAAAACAGCCAATCTAAGAGATGTGGGTTGTCCAAAACATGTTATTGCCTATCGGCTGGAGTCAGTTTTTCATTGCTACTTTTCTTTAACAAGTTGTGAAACTCTGGCCAGTGATATTCTGCACATGATAAAGTAAAAAATATTGTGGGTGGTCCCTTTTGAGTTATTGTAGCCTTTAGGTCTTCTTTTGATTTATGCCAATAAGCACTGCTACCAGTTATATTTTTGGCATAATGCATCAGCTTAGACATAAGCGAAGAATAGCTATTAGAAGTAAGAATTTGTTTGAGTTGTTCTACAGCTAGCTGGACCTCACCTAGATGTTGCTTAAGAAATATACTACCCTGACTAAGAAGTCTGTGCCTTTGGATCATATTAAATGCCTAGTAAGCAAATTGTGGATGACACGCAAATCTGTACACCCATTCGCCACTGATGTTTTCAGCAAACTTTATCGAGTGCTTTACTTTATCACCTAAGGTTACATCTCGCATTGTGGCAGTATTGGTTGGATCTCCAATAGCATCAGGGAAGAGAGTGGGAAAAGCCATTGTTGCTAGTAGCTGAATTTTGAATTCACTTAACGGATTGGTTTCTCTACTAGGCCATGTAGCTTTGTGCTGTTGTAAAAGTTCGTCTTTTATTAGCTGCTTTTGTGGCTTCAAAACTACAGGATTTAATAAAGTGCTGCTTATCTCTGTTTCACTATTAAATGGTAATTCATCAGTATCAAGTGGACCTCTATCTGGATCTATTTCATGCTCACTGTCCACAGCACAGTGGACTTTCTTTAAGTCTCTGGGAATTCCTTCAATTGGAAGGGAAGATAAACAATTTAAGTCAATTTTACTGTTTTTGTAGACAGGATTGTGCTCAACTAACCAGTGCAAAGCCATACAAACTTGTCTTCGAACAATTAAATCTTTGCTAGTGTTATCTTTGCCCTTCACCGTCATGACTATTATGGGAAGTTCTTTTGGATATCTTGGCAATGTGTCTGCAAGCTCTTGGATGTCTTGTGGGAAATTGATGCAGTGACCTTTATATGCTCTTTGTCCACCTGGTTTTGTGTAAACACTCATAACTGGAAAAGCACGTGCAATTAACATCTCTTCTATTTGGGTTAAACCTTGTAATTCTTTAGGAACAGGGGAAGGAATCATATTATTTTCAGCTGAAATCTTTTTAATGCTGTTTTTATCTCGTACACATCTTGAACAAATATATTGTGCTACCTTTTTGTTTTTTACTGACAATGGCCATGCCTCATGGCAAACTTGGCAATGCCAGATTTTGAAAATCATGGACTCATGAAACTTCTTCATATTTACTGCTGCCCATTTTTGATCACGTAGCTGTCCATACTTCATAGCATCAAGTGGTGATAAATACTGATCATGACTTAATACAGGACAATATTTTGGCCTTTTAATGGGCAACTTTGTTCCTGCTGTACATGCAGTTTGATTGTCAACAATTTGCTTTTTACACATGGAGTCATTTAAGGATTTTTTCATTTTTTCCTGAATTTCTTCATGTATTCTTTTTTCTTGGTCTTTTTGTTCAGTTTTTCGGTTTCATTTATGGATAATAGTTTTTTCTTTCCATACTGGCTGCTGTAGTTGTTTTGTTTAGCTGAAGCTCTGTTTTTCAATTTGTCTACGTCATTTGTATTAGCTGATTTTTTTTCTGCATTCCTTCATGTAACTTTTTTGTGCATCTAACTTAAGCCTCCTATCAGTTTCACTTACTTTTTTACATTTTATTTTTGCTCTGTAATTTCTCATTATCTCTGATCGTCTTCTTTTCTTCTCATTAAAAATATCTTTTTGAGTTTTATGCTCAGTTTGACGTGGAGAGAAGTTGAATTTGCCAGATATGAACCACATTTCAGGCTCTTGAGGTTGTGTTACACTTTCCACAGTTTAATGGCATTTGTCAGCTAAAAGAGATGTTTGGCAAGGCATGAAGTTTGTCTGTAAATCATTTGGAACTGTACATAAAGACTTTCCAAATATAGTAAAACAACAACCATTGGGGTAACTATTCAAAAGATCCTGAATTGAGGAAAAACGTCTGACTGAAACACACAAATCATCTATATATATCCATTAACTGTAATTATTTACAGCTGTTGTGAAATGATGACTTATACAACGTACCATGCCTTTGAGTTCATAACCTTCACCTAATACATCCATAGAGAGGGGAAAGTATATTTGACTGATACAGTTCGATGAAGAAGTGCTTTGATGCAGACTGAACACTTATTTGTTCTGCC